AGAAAGCCTTGGAGCCTGTAGATACCAAAGAGAACTTAAACACTCTGTGAAGACAAAAAGACAGTAAGTGTTTTCATGGAAAAGAACCGCAATAATATTCTCTCTCCTTTGTTTCATAGTGAAAAGGAAAAACTAGATTTATCATTTGAAACAGATTAGAGGATTGCTTTTAAAATAATTTATATATCTTATTCATAGTTTTGTTATGCTCACAGTTGAAGAACAATGACTTACCGCAGTTTTTACTAAAAATTACTCCTCAAACAGATAATTTTTCAAACATTTAAATGTGTAAAATATATGAACTCAGTATGAAAAATAGAAATGCTAAGTTTTTCAATCTCTTTTGGCAGGTCTAGGTTGGTATAGAGCTGCCTTTTGTTGTTTTATTTTATATTTTTGTGGTATTGCTGCCTCAATTTCAGTTTGAAAAGGTGCTAGCAAAGACCTTAGCAGAAAACTGTGTTTTCCACTAAGCCCCTTACTTTGACAGAAGCTGTTGAGTTTCACAATTAATTCTTCTCTCTAGATCACTGTGCTGCATAAAAGATGGATCCACACTGACAAGATGGAACAAATATCATCATTAGCAAAACTCGAACAATGTGGAATAACTTGCTGAATTTGGGTCAGTTTGTCTGCCTTATGACACTGTTCCTCTCTACTGCTTCATACTTGACTAATCTCCATTGTGTGCTTGACATGTTTTGTAACTGCTTGCAGGTAATTTTAACTCTTCATTTTTGGAAAATTATATATTTATTTGAGAGATGTGGGCGTGCACAGGTACTGTCACTTACCCGAGGATTCAGCACTGTGCAGGAAACAAAACAGCAGAGCTCATCTGGAATCTTTGGGTGACACCCATGGCTAGGAAGTGAGGGGTTGGTGGCAAAGTCTGCTAGAATAAGGGGCTGTTGAAAACCTGCCCCCAAGATCCACATCATGGATAAATTGAAAGAAGTGGAAAAGCAGAGAGAAACCAAAGTGGTATGCTAAGACTCTATCAGCATGGAACTGTCAGCCGTGATAGGCAGTGTAATGGGAGCTCAAGGGGACCTTCCTCCCGGGGCCTTTTTAAGTCGTCTGCAGTCTTCTGTGGGCTGCCATCTAGTTGGCTGCTCCTGTGTTTCTTTTACCCCATGGGGCATTTGTTGTCACTAAGAAAGGGAAAGCAGGTATACATGCATTTGATTTCCGAGGGTCTTGGTAGTCTTTCACTGAATCTCCTTTACATCCAGCAGTATTAGAGTTAGGAAGGGCTCCAGGTTGCTTGGGTGGGAATTTCCTTTGCTAGGAAGCACAAAATAACCGGGTTTACATAAGTTTCCTAGGAGATTCGCCTATACTTTCTAGTGTTTAACTTTTACACAACGTGTACTGCTTAATATTGGGTTCACAATTCTTCCTCATCCTTGCAAACATTTGAGAAGAAGCATTAGACACAAAAAGAGGTCTTCTGGGTGGCCTCAGGTACCCTCAAGGTCAACTCTGTTTCACTTAGGTTAACACACACACCCTTAGTGCTTTGTTAGAAAGTGTTACTGAAAACAAAATTCACCTACATATCTCTCCTGACCTCAACTATGGTCATATAGACTCTCAGTGTTTTCTCTACTTCAACGTTTTACTGGGCAAGCCTCCCTCTTTCCTGCTGTTAATACAGTGGAGGGTTAGAAGTTCGCTCATTTTTCTCTGTGAGGAGGATCGTGGCTAACACCGGCAACTTCTCACTAACCCTTGACTTTAGCCTCATCCTGGTCCTAGTATACCTTGCTAAGAAAAGAGTTTGTAAGCTTTCTACATTGGTTCTTGATCTTTCTCTCCACTGTTCCTCCATCTGTCTCCTAAGCAAAAAGAGCTCCATCTTCTTTGATGCTGAAGCCTGAATCCCCTGAGCAATGCTTGAGTTTTGCTTGTTAATCGTTCAGTCGAATACTATGCTTCCCCGTCTAACCCAGGTTCTATACATGTTAGGTCCGTCCAGTCTGCACATCTCTATTCCTGTAGCATCAGTCAGCTGCATTCTTCACTTGAATGACACTTAGCCTCATTAGGTTTTCACTTCATTTATTGGACATTTACATCCCATTGTGCATGTAGCTGCTCGACTAACCTTTAAAAACTGATGTCATTAGCTACCCATTTCAATGGACTGACAGTATTCTTGAAGCCTAAATGCCATGGTGTGGTTTACAGGACTCTGATGTGGTTGTGGTCCATGCCTGTGCCTCCAGTCTCATCGTGGCCTATTTTTCTCCTAGTCCCAACATTTCTATACCGTGATGTCTTTCACTTAGCTGAACATGGCTGAGTTCTGTTTCAACTTGATGCGTTCATACACTTGAAGACTTCTTTCTCCCAGTCTTTTGTTGGAGGACCCCCTTCTTCCTTTCTAATCAGCCCTTCATTATCATTACCTTCTTAAAGTTTTTCTCTGTGGCTTCTAGTATAAGCTAGAATCTCTGCTAATACAACTTGTATCATGGGATTCATCAGCACTTGAACTATGTTATGGTCTATGTTTATGAGCATGTGTTTGTCAGACACCTGACAGCTACTCAAATATGAGTTCTACGCTGGAGGGAAGTGCATCTCATTCATTTTTCTATTCTAGTACTTAGCACAGCACTTGATATGTAGCTGTATTCTGGTTCAAATTTGAAATATCCCTAGTAGACTCATAGTTTGGACACTCAGTCCTCACATCAGCCCTGGTGCCAGTTTGAAGGCCTGAGAGCCTTGTGGAGGTGGGCCCTGGCCAGCAGGAGCAGTTCATTAGCAGAAGGCCTATGAAGGTTATATTTGATTCTATTTCTAGTTTGTTCTCTCATCTTCTTGGTCTCCACGGCAACAATCATCACCACAAAGTCCTATGCTCATGGAATGAGTCTTTCTGGCTACCATGCTTTTTCCACAATGATGGACAGAGAGTCGCCAAAACCATGAGTTAAAATAAATCCTTCTTCCCTTAAGCTGCCAATGAGAAAACAAGACAAATGTAGGCAGCTACAAAAAAAAAAGTCATTGACTATTTGAATGAATGACGTATAGATAGTGAAGGCTAATTTATGTGTCGTTATAGTCTTTGAAAATGGGTTTCTGAGAATTATGACACAAAAAAAAACAAAGTTTGTTGGCCACTAGTGAGGACAGGCCAAACCATGTTGCAAGCACACAGAATGGAAAGAATATGAGGCAATGAGATGAAAGAAAGTCGGGAATAGTCAGTCATAGCAGAAGCAAGACTATGCTGTATCTGCACGTAGCTTCTTGCCCAAGGGCACTGTGCCATGAAAGTTTGTAAGTCACATCATTGTTTTATTTTTTTCTTCTTAAAAAGATTTATTTTGATTTATGAATTTGCATGTGTATCTCTGTGTGTTGCAGGGCTGGTGCACATAAGTACAGGTACCCCCAGAGACCAAGAGAGGACACTGGGAGCCCTGGAGCTGGAGTTACAGGCAGTTTTGAGGAGGTGTTGGGGACCAGAGTCAAATCCTCTGCAAGAGCACAAGTTCTCCTAACCTCCAGCCACCACATGTATATGATTTTAGATCATCTGCTAGCTACATTATAAAGCATAAAAGAAAATGATGAAATTAATTTTGATACAGTATTTTTATTTACCCAACATATCTAAAATATTACAACTTCAACATATAACCAATATAGAAAGTTAATGAGACATTTTAAACTGTTTTTCAAAGAAATGTTCACAAGTTGCTATGTTATACATGGGCAACTCCCAGTTCAGACCATTTACATTTGAAGTATCCAATAGTCACTAAGGCTGGCAAGGGACTGCTATTATTGGACAGCCTTACAGGTTTCTTGTGGTATTTGATTAATTGTTTATAACAATATGCCATGGACTGTGGAGCCTGAACTATAGACAACTAGCACTCAAAACTAGAGGAGAAGTATGGCTGAGCTTTTGGTAAGGGCTTTCTTCCTGTCTTGATGATAGCCACCTTCTAGCTTTGTCTTCAGAGGACAGAAAGGGAGAGAGAGGGAGAAAGAGAAGAAGAAAGGGACAGGAGGGGAGAAGAGCATTGGTCCCCCTTTCTTCACCTTATAAGGCCACTAATCTTATCCTTGAGTTACCATCTTCATGATGTCACCTAAGCTTGATTCCTCTCCAGAGAGCTTGTCTTTAAATATCCAATGGAAGGGTAAGTTTCTTCTACATATGCATTTTTCAGACACTCAAGTCCTTTTCCAAAGCTTATCTGTGCCAACCATGAACTTGACCTGATTTTCTTATTCAAGGGTACTATGCCAGGTAGGATATGACTCCTTAGATGGCACACCCCTGGGGACTTGCTCACCTGGTATGTCGGGCTGACGTGCAAGAGAGGAAGCATTTGTGTGCAGTGCTCCAGAATACAGAACCAGAATGGAATTTCAAGGGGGCAGCTTGCTTTGAGAAGTTTAAACAATAAAGTGCCCTGTTCTGCAGATTTTTTTTTATGAAAAGAGCCAGGCAGAGGCTGGTGCCCACTTGGGCCAGGATTCCATAATTCACTGGAAGCTGCTATCAGATGATCTTTCAAGTGGCTTTGAACCAGGAGATTCTATAATTGAATTAATCTTGCAACACTCTTCCAACAACCAGTATTTTCTTGCGGACTCTCATTTTGCATTGGAAAATGTTTTAGGTGGTGTTTTGTTTTCCCAGCAAAAAGGTTTTTGTTTTGTTTTGCTTTGTTTTTGTTTTTAGTTTTTTATCTGTAGCTACACATACTGAGAGAATGAAAACAAGGGGAGAGGGGGACTCTCTTTAACCCATTGTTACCTGACTGATTTTACCCTCCGCAGCATGCCAGGTACGTCTATAATACTATTCAACTACACAACACGTGTGACTAACAGTAGCTCATTTTTGTTTACATTTTTGTCAGTGAAATGCTAGCAACAGGAAGCAGTTGGTACTATTCCCTAGTAGAGAGATTGTTCTAGGTTATAAAACTCAGCAAGCCTAGCAAACGCCGACTTACCGTGGTGTCTACGCCCAGCTTCTTAGGTTCTTACAGGATGCATGATGCTTCTGTTCTCTGTTCACCATAGCCTCGGTGAAAGCCAGGCCTGATGGCTGAGCTCTTGTTTCCTGGGCAGAGAACATAGGTCAGCCCAGCCAGAAAGGAAAGGAAACCAAATATTATCACTTCTTTTTAAGTTGAAGAATGCATAGAAATAAAGTTGATAATGTGAACAGTACAATATTGTACTTTACAGCATCAGGCATCTCTTAGTTGCTTTGCTGAAGCAGTAAAGTTAAAATTGTGAATTGGTTTATATAAAAAAATGCCGCCGCCCCCCCCCCCGCAGTCTCAGGCATTTGAACGCTTGGTCCCCAGGTGATAGCACCGTTTGGGGATGTCTAGGTGGTGCAGCTTTGCTGGAGGAAGCCTGTCCCTGGAGATGGGCTTTGCAAAGCACCTCCCATTCCCTCCCTCTGCATCATGCTTGTGTTAGAAGAGTGAGCTCTCAGCTCCCCGCTCCCTCTCTTACACAGGCCGCTTGCAGCCATGGCACTCCACCAAGATGGGCACTGTCAACCCTCTAGAGCCATAATTCAAAAGGTAAAACTCTTTCTTCTATGAGTTACCTTGGTCATGATGTTTCGGCAACAGAGAAGTAACCAGTATAAGCTATTCCTAGAAATTCACAAGTTCGCTCTTGGTATTTTAGATATGATTATTTTCAATGTTAAGTACTTTCTCCGTTTGTGGAGAGAGTATTCCTCTTTCAACTCAGAACCATTTTTCAAGTGGTCTTCATTCTTCAGTCCTGGCCTGACTGACTCCCACACTCTTTGTATACGTTGCCTTTACAAACTCCTGGCAATAGGACCCTGCTGTATTACAGTAATGCCTTGTTCTCCCTTTTCCCAGCCTAGGTAGCAGATACCATGGGTTCTCTTTGCTCTTCACAGGCTCTTCCTGTTCTAGCAGCTACCGGTACAACACATTCGAAGACTCAGCTCAGGCATCAGCTCTGCAGTGTAAGCCATAGGGAAAGCTGTAGGATGCTGAACAATATCCTACTTGAAGTCATTTCACTCAGGTGAACATACAGCCCCTTTTCTGTTTTAATCTTACTAATTCAGTCTTTCATTTGTTCAACTAATTTAGTCTTTTGTTCATTTGTAAAATATTTCTGAACACCCACATTATGCCAGCCACAATACAGAGAGTAAAATTCATTTCATGTAAGCAGGGACACATTTAAAACACACACACACACACACACACACACACACACACACACACACACACACACTACCCTCACTGTAAAATTGTAACTCGCAGAGTGAACAATGTGTGGTGTCATGTGGTGGGCATGCTGGGGAGGGAAAGCTCACAGAGGAGGCGGGCTCTGAGCCAGGCTTTCCGGAATGCTGGGCCCTTCTGGCAGTTGGCAGAGGGAGGGTGGGGGCAGCGATGCAGGCAGGCAGGCTAACGCAGAAAGCACACGGTGTGTAGGAGCAACAGGTGATAAGGTAACTGAGCTGTGGTAAGATAGCTCCGAAGCCACGTGCAGGCAGACGGGGAGGAGAATGGGGGCTGGGTATTTTTGCCCTAGGGACTTTTCTGTGTCCCCCTTAATCTCCAGAATTAAAAACAAAAATCTATCTAAAGATGGAGGCTATGAAGCCTTCTAAAATATGAGAAACAATTATGCCACATTTTGGTAGTGGTGGCAGCCATTGTGACCTCCTCCTTCCTCTCCTCCTCCCCTTTCTCCTCTGGTATAAAATATAAAGAACGCTTTTGGTTGTTATGATTTTGCAAACAACAGTGCATAGATTGTCTGAACATGGGGGTATTGGGTGCCACTCTGTACTAGTTTCCCATTCAGAAACAAGACATAGTTATTTCATACATACCCAATGTTACTGAGTTGAGCTCTGTGTGCTGTGAACCACACTGGGCAGGATCTGCTGTGGAGGGCTCTTGGCAGTGCTGGGTAGAATGTCTAACTTGAAGTAACCACCTCAAAGCCCTATTGTAATAAAATTGCCCTTAGCATGAATGCAGATGCTCACGTGCAGGCCTGTGGCCACAGAAAAAGGAGAGACCCCACAATCTGCAAAGGGCTCTGCAGTTTTCCGTAGCAGTGTGGCTGTGGGCTTATCTCCTGAGTTGAATCTGTGGATCCCATAGGGGAAAAGGGGACTCCAGAGTGAGTACCTGTGCTCTGGACAGCTCAGCTTCAACATCTCAGCACTAACACGATGGAAAAATGGCTGATTGATTTCATCGACTCTAGAAAGGTAGTAACAGGAACTTAAGAGCTGGGACCGTGACAGCACTCCTGAAGGGTAGAATAATTGAGGGACCACACTGCATGGTACACACAGACACAACCTGGATCCTCACCACACACAATTTCTTGGTCTGACTTTTGGTAAAGTGTTGTTTGCTCATACATAGGATTAATTCTAAGTCTTTGCTGTTGATCTAAATGCCATGCTCTTCCAGCCTCCAAAGAGCTTAAGTCACAGGCTTCCAACTTTGCAAGCTCACCACCATAAACACCTTTCTGAGCTCACATAAGCCATCCCAGAAACTCCAGCATGCATTTCAGAAAGAGATGTAAGAGATCAGTGAACCGACTTTGGGCAAGCATAAGCTTCTTACACTTGAACCAGTTTCTCCAAACTCGGTCTCAACTTTTCTCAGTCACCTGTGACAATTCCTCATCCGTGAATGTAGCACCTGCTTCCTCCTCATCAAGCTCTGTCACCCAAAAGCGTGTCACCTTCAGATTTGCCCATTCTGTCCTTTCCTACATCAGCCTCCTTTATCTAAATCCTTACCTCCCTAGCTCTTATTTCAAGACACAAGTATTTCCCCCCATTCCTTTTCATTTCAGTAGATACTTATTGGAAGACAAATACACAAAGATGGCACTGAGAAATGCATGTCTAATCATACCCAAATTCCCTGTGTTTGGGAATCCTAAAAAACAGAGTGACACTGGAGAGCAGGGGAGAGACCACAAAATGGCTGCATTTGGACGTAATATAAATGGCGTTTGATTTTCTACTGTTTTCCATACTCTCCGTACATTTCCATACTTGTATGAGGCATTTAATTACACAGAGTGTAGCAGTCCATAAACCATATGATCCACTTTGTCAACTGTGTCAAGTCTGATGTTGTGAAGAGCGTAAGCTCCTCCAACACGGGCCTCACCCTGACATGTCCTTACACTCCTTGGCGGACAGCTCATGCTTGGTTCATCCACATGCATCACATGTATGTCATCACAAATAGGAACATGAAGGGTTGATAGCTGCCCCAAGCGATCTGATGGTTAAGGCTGCCTGGCATCCTTAAAATAGGGTGTTTCAGGCTGGAAAGATGGCTCAGTGGGTATGAGTGCTTGCTGTGCAAACAGGAGAGCCTGAGATCAAATCCCCAGCATCACATGAAAGCTGAGCATGGCAACATATGTCCATAACCTCAGTCCCGGGGGTGGAGACAGGTGGATGCCCAGAGCTCACTGGCCAGCCAGTCTAGCTGAAACAGCAAGCTTCAGGTTCAGTGAGAGAGCTTTTCTCAAAATAATAATAATAATAATAATAATAATAATAATAATAATGTAGTGTGATAGAGGAGACTATCCAGCATTTTCCCCAGGTCTCTGCATGTTCATGCACGGACACATACACACAAACAGGCATGCACTCCCCACCACGCACAAATAAAAAACAGGATGCTTTGTGCAAAATAATTACAGTCATTGTGATACATTTCAAAATATGACTGTTCAGTCTCCCCACCATCTGCCTAGAGTCTCCAGAGGTGCTCTGTGCAGACTTTAGAGATGCTGAGACATTGGGATCTAAATTTAAATCCAAAGTGATGTGTGGCCTCAGATCAACCTCTTCCAGAATATAGTTGTCTCATGGTCCAGGTAATGGTATCTTAACATCAAACGGACATGCCCATTTTCTAGGAAAGGTGGGCATCTCATCTTATTTATGCCGATTCCATGTTCTTTATGTTCAAATAATATTTGTTCTGTTGTGTCGTGATGTTTGTGGTTTAAAGACATCTCAGATCCTTAGCTAATGGCCTTCCCTGGTAGTTGTTCTGGCCAATCTTCTTATTTGTTGGAGTCACTGAGCAGGTTGGGACTGACCACTCAGGAGCCATTGCTGGCTGTGAATGCCTACCCAGAGGCTCTACACTTGTGTCCCCTCCCCCAGCAAACCAGAACTTCCAGGAGCTCTGTGTATCAGACACCAACACATCCTGATTGTCCAGCTTCTCTCACTCCCAAGGGGACAAGGTCTGACCACTCAAATGTCTCTGTGTCACATTGCAGTCAAGACTCCCGCTCTCATTGTCACCCAGGGGTGCCCCTTGGATCAGAAGAGTCCCAGTGTCTGAGCACGAAGTTTTCTGAACTGCTAGCTTGTGTTTGAGGACATTTCTCAAGCATGGCACTATATGGTTCTAGGAAATGCTGATACGACTATAGCAATTTTCTCCAATTTGTTCCTGACAAAGAATTCTCTTCAAAATTGAGTTGGCTTCTTTTCTTTTGTTCAAAAATGCTGGTAAACACAATTAGCCTCATTAACCTCAGTTTCTATTTCATAACCGAAAATTAGCCTACAATCACTGGTTTGCTGGAAAGCACAGTTGTAATTAGTCTTTAACTGACTGATACAAAAAATCTGCCTCTTTAAAAATTTTCTTTGACATTTCAGTGCATATGAAAACAAGTCTGAACCTTCCTGCGCTAGCACTGGGGATGGAAGTAAAAATAAATCGAGGAGTTAAATCAAGGATCTCAAGCTGAGACATGAAAAGTGGTGTTCTTGGATGTGGAAACTGGAGAGGAGGCATTTGCTGGGGAGATGACGGTGTGAAGGTAGACGCTATGAAGCCAATTCTCTATGTGTCTCGTGCCCAAAGCAAGTTACTTATGACATTGATGGACATATCATCTACAGGCAAAATCAAGTTATAATGAGAGAGGGGGGGAGGGAGAGGGAGAGAGAGAAAGAGAAAGAGAGAGGGGGAGGGAGAAAGAGAGAGAGAGGGACAGAGAGAGATGCAGACAGGCAGGCAGACAGAGAGATTAGAGAAAAGGATTTGCTTCCTTGGCACAGTTGAAAATGTCATTTTCAGCCCTTGAAATTCACACTGTTGACTAGCTTAGGTACCAACACCTTTTTGTGGAAGAGATTCGAAAGTCACATTGTATGTGTGGGCAGTCGCCACATTTGGTCTTTTTCAGGCTATCACCTGAAGACAGGACTACCCATTCTCCTAACCCACAAGCTGAGTCAGGGGTCCTATCAGAAAATTGTCTGGCTGTTGTTGAGTTGACAGAATCCCCAAAGCAGAAGGATGAGATTGTTTCTTTTTTTGTTCAACAGCTAATCTAGAAATATAAAGAAAAAGAAGAGAGAAGAGGGATTAATTTGAGGTAGTTCAGCTAGGTCTTTGGAGGGTGTTAAATGCCTATGGCCAGAGGAATCAGACCACAGCAGGCATCCCTCAGATAGAATCCCCAGCAATGTACCCTACAAGGACTGCTGTCTTCCAAAGAACCACAGACAGCCTTTACTTTCTGAGACATGGTGTAGCCTGCTGTTACCCGTCCCTGCCCCCAGCAGACTCTGCCTCCTCTGGCATCCTATATGTTTTTTTTTTCTTCCATTTTAATCTCCATTTGTTTCAAGCTAATATCACATATCCTCCAGAAAGAAGAAAGACCCTGAGGGTGGTTATTTTGACAAGCTATTCTGGATAGGAAGCTCTCTCTTTCCCTGACATTCATTTCTTGTTTCTTTTGGGTAATTAAACACAGAAAAGGTCACCTAGCATTCTGGCAATAACAGGAAGTGGGGAGGGGGGCAACGGCAAACAATGCAAGGAAGGCAGCACTATTTTTATTTTTCTTCCCGTTTCTCTAGGAAGGATTAGTTATTTATTGATTATTCATAGGCCACCTCCTTCCTCTAAGACTCTCGAGGCTGTGCAATTTGAAAGCACCCCAGAAACACCTGCGTGTTACTAAGTTTAATTTCTTGGCAAAACACCATGGCCACACCAATACAAAAATGTGATTTGAGTGCTTCTAAGTTTCAGTGAAATGGAAAATTTGTCTCAGCTACAGCATCTGTACTCTCTTGTACCTGTTCTCTCTTCCACCATCCATGCTGTTAGCTTTGGGGAAGCGTTTTCCCATCTTGCCTTGCTAAGATGCCCAAGCTAAAACAGTGGTCTACATGATCCCACTCTCCTCTCAGCTCCACAAGGGGCGTAGACTGCATTTCCACATCCCAGAATTTCAAGGCCCTGGGTGATGATGAACTTCATTCAATGAAGGACCTTAGCTGCTTGACGACTGTCTATCTAGGCCAGTTCAAAGCACATCGGCAGCTACAAATCTGGGCCGTTTTAGTCTTCGCCATGCTGTGAGCATAGCTTAGGCTTTCCCGCTCCACAGCCATCACCATGCTACCCTTTAGGCCTAAAACTGTCTTTTTAAACTGGTCCCGTTCTTCATGGTGGTGCTGAAAGACTACTGTCATAGGAAGCGGGAGAACTGGCTTCTGCTCCTCAGCATAGGCACTCAGTCCGCAACCAGTAACAACAGCACACAGCAGCCCTGA